ATATATATGTATATGCTGCATATACAACACATTATTTTTTATGACTGATAATAGCATGATAATAAGTTACTACGTATTTTACATTTGAAAACATGCTTCGTTCTTTGCAATGTCTATTATCTTATCTTAAATTTCGTAGTGATAATTTTTTTATTCAATGGTTTTCAGGATCTTCTCAAACATACGCCGGTTAACCATGCAGATCACGCGCCTCTTTCAGAAGCTCTTGCTATGACTAGAAACTTCCTAGACGAGTTCAATATCATTCAAACAAAGTCTATGTTTCCGGTAAGATTGGAGCAAATTACAATGTGTGCCTACTATTTTATATTTTATATAAATTTCTTATACAATGTGTTTTTTTTTTTCTCTATCATGAGTTTTTTATTTCTTTTACGCAGAGTCACGACAGAGCCCAACGAAGATTGGTAAAAAATTCGTTTGTAGTCGAACTCTCGGATGGTCACAGAAAGCTAAGACATCTCTTTCTTTTTAATGACGTAATCGCTTGTGCGAAGTACAAAGCGTCCGGCAGAGACAAGTTCACGTTCGAATTGAAGTGGTATGTACCGGTGGCAGAAGCCACTGTTACAGAAGACGGCATAGAGCCGCGCGAAACCAGTCCTGCTAACGTGGTAGCTTTAAGGTAAGTCAGCAAAACACTTCTAATCAGTCACGATATCTGTCAATAATAATGAAGAGTGCTTCATCCATTGTATTGTAAAAATATGTTATCAGATTAGTCATCGATATTGACTTCAAGTGTTGCGTTACAGAAATAAACTGTTTTTTGGTCATCAAAATAAGTAGCGATATGTATTGTATTGTATTAATATAAAAGGCAAATATACTGCTTTGATAAATGTCTGATTAAGTTTGAAAATTTATTGAAACAGGTCGCAAGCCTGTACAGTACGTGATCAAATTTTATGGGAAGAACGAAACGACGAGAAACGGATTCGTCTGGGTGGCAGGGGTTCGGAAAAGAATCGCAAGAAACTCGCCGAGCTTGAAGCTCAATTGGTATTAGCTTCACCGAACTTAGTCCTGCGCGTCGCACACAAGAGTCAGCAAAATCGAGTACAGAATTCTTACACCTTCTTCCTGTCCAGTGAATTTGAGCGCTCTCAATGGGTAGAAGCAGTAGAGGCATTACAACAGGTTATTGAGTCTCGCATTAAAATTATCTAAATCTAATGATATTAAGAATGTTATTAAGTTATGTTATGTTCGATTGAGAAACGGAAGGATCGATATCGCTGGTGCTGTCTTACAGGGTGGACAACCTCCAGGGCAGTTGCCACTCTCGATGTACGAACTGCAGGCTTGGGTCACCGCTTGTCGGACGTACCTGCAAACCGACATGGGCAGCTATCTACTGAGATCAGGCCGTGATGAAAGTTTATTATTGGGTGATCTTCATTTGACGCTGCTTGGTTTAACTCCACCAGGTTTAGACAGAGTAGGCGATCTTTATATCATTGTGGAAGTCGACAGCTATGGACACTACTTTAAGAGAGCTCGAAGTCGTGTCGCTAGAGGTCAAGCTCCGCTTTGGGGTAAAAAGAATTTTCACTTTTTTTCCTTTTTTGCAGAATCTACTCAGTATTAAATCATACCTTTTTTATTACATAAGAGTCATCATGTTTTAAAATTAAAATTCTTTACTTTATAGCATTGGATTAAAGTTTTCTATTCTTTGGCTGCAGGTGAGACTTTTGTCGTGGAATTGGAAGGAAGTCAGAACGTTAGAATCCTATTGTACGAAGAATGTGGCACACGTTCGGTATTGCGAGGCAAATGTATTCAGCGATTGAGTAGGTCTTGGCTGCAATCCGATCAGGTGGAGAGATCACTGAATTTGGGACCCGCGACATTGGACGTGGCACTACGTTTCGTTCCTAGCGAAGTCACTCTGAGACGAGTGCCATCGGCTAAGCCGCAGGGCCTATTCGGCGCCAAAATCCAACAAGTTTGCAAGTACGTAGGATTTTATTTTGAATTAGAAGTTAAAAAATTAAATTAATTGACTTCTTTCATCTTCTCATTAAATTTTTACTTACAGAGAAAAAATTAACTAAAATTAATGAGGAATTCTCAATTTAAAGAAAATTTTTTTTATGTCTTCTGAATATTTCTTAGGAAATTTCTATGCATTTTCTGATTTGTATTGAAATACGAAATACATTTTAATGAGAATCGAAATATATATTATATTCTTTTGTAATGTTGCAGACGAGAAAAACGTGACGTGCCTTTTATAATAACGGCATGCGTACGAGAAGTGGAGAGACGTGGCGTCGGCGAGGTAGGTCTATATCGTGTTTCCGGCTCGGCATCTGATGTGGCGAAACTACGCAAATCATTTGAGAGCAACTCGTACGAAGCCGAGCAACTACTTAAAGAGGTGAAGAGAGTTTTTTAATATTTTTGTTCGCAATAATCATCGAGCAATGTCCTCTTATCTTCTACATGCCTATATTAATGCAGGTGGACGTGCATTCGGTGACGGGTGTGTTGAAGCTGTATTTGCGCGAGATGCCGGAGGCGCTATTCACCGACGCCCTTTACCCGGCATTCCTGGAGGCCTTCCAAACGGGCGATTTATCGCGGGGTGCCGCCTTACGCCGCGTTTACGAAGGCTTGCCCGCCGTCAACAAAGCGGTCATCGACTTCTTGCTAGCGCATCTGGCTCGCGTAAATAAGCACGAAGCACAGAATAAGATGTCATTGCATAATCTGGCCACAGTATTTGGGCCCACGTTACTGCGTCCTGGCACCAGCAATTCACGCAGCGATGCCAAGAGCCGCGATCCTCTCGCTGCCGGCACTGTTGACGTGATGGCGCAAGCCGGCATTCTTTACTGCTTTCTGCAGTTACATATGCAACAACAGAACAATCAATCGCTCTAGTCGACAAAATCCCCTGATCCTGAACGTGATTAACGTTGTCATCGATCTGAGATTGGTAAGCAGTCGGCAATGGAAACGCGATCATTTCCTTCCTGATGAAGCAAACGCCGAAAAGACGATGTAGAGTATCTGAAGGACAGTAATCTGGTAATTCATTGTTATGTTCAATCTTACAATCAGTTAATTCATTAAATTTTAGAAAATTTTTGTTTTTGTAATTTTTATTTTTGTTTTGATATAGATTCTGATATATTTTGTTCTTTATGTGACGAATAATTACCTTGTTAAGTAACGATTCATAATTTTCTATATAAATAAAGAGATAAGTTTTTCAGTTATAATTAAAACTTTTTATTCGTATTAAATACAATACAGAATTTTATATTTTGCGTTTCAATGAAACGATGGAATTTTTAGTTTTTAATACGTTAAGTAATTAAATCAGGAAAACGATTGTCAAAGTGCAATCTTAAATATCCATTAGATGTTTTTTTATATTACGCTGCCACAGTAATCTATTCACATCTCTCTGGCTGGTCTCTTTTATAGATGTTAATTTCGCGCGATGTATCTCTTTTCGCAATGCTGAGGTAGAACCTGGAAATAATATTAAAGCAAATAGAGTGGCTTTGATGAAACCCTCCACACGAGGATAAAACTCCTTCTGTATTCTATACGCGTGCAAAGTAATTTAGCTGAGCTGCTCTTAGAACATATATATATATATATATATATATATATATATATATATATTGTATATATATAATAATAATATATATATACATATATTATTTTACTTTTGAGGTCCATAATATATTTTTCTACTTCGTATTGTCTGAGCGTGACAATGTTACTCGCGCGCAATCAAATTAATGACCTTTCTTGAGATGAGATTTTCGAGACGAAGAAGAGCGTGAAATGGTGCAGAAATTTCAGGTGAGAATTTGGTCAAAGAAAGATTAGATAAGTCAGAATAAATTGGCATAAAAATGTTATATTATCTCCTTCATACATTACAAGTATCTCGAAAATTTTATATAGAAGGGAAAAGAAGATTTGTTGAAATGTAAGAGTCTTTTAAAGGAGAATGTGAAAAAAAATTTGTTTAAAGTCTGAAATTAAAATCTTTAAAGCCTGAAATTTATGTACTGGATGTGCAATTGGCGCGTCTGTGCTCTAGAAAATAAGTACTTTTTCACGTGACGTGTGTTCCTAGCAGAGAATCTAAATTTTTTTATACGAGTCCTTTTATATATCCGTTGCATGAAGCAACCAATCGCCCTAAGTAATACGGATACTTGTACTCTCGTGTACTCGATACGATAGCATATATCTCGTAGGAACGTTATAACATTCAGGAAAGAGAGAAAGGGAGAGAGAGACAGAGTGAGAGTGATTTGTTCTTCCTTAGAGATTCTGTGGAATTCAGGGAACGACGTTCCTCATAATGTGCAAAAACGAAGAATTTGTTATACATATATAATATAATGATCGTCCATTCCATTTGCTCGCATTTTCTATGAAGAATCAAATCTTCGCGCAAAGCTCGGAGTTTTGACATAAAAAGACATATGATTAAAGGAAAAGTCCTCCTTAGTCCGTCAAAATGGTATTTTTCGATCGTAATTTCGAATGAAACGAATTTTTTTTACGCGTATTACCTTACGCGTCTAAATGCAGCTTAATGAGACGCCAAAGAGAAAGAGGTACGTTCCCATATGAGCGTAGAGCGTCCCGAAAGAAAATATGATTTATACGAGAAAAGATATAACTCTTCACAAAACAAAAGTATTTAAACCGCGGAATAAATCTATTCTCATGAGAGAAGATTTCTTCCCAAGAAAATTTATTTCTAAATCGATAAATTTTCGGTAACATAAACCAAAATCGTTTTTCTTTTTTCAATGTTTAAAGTTAATCTCGAGAAGACAATGCGCGAGAAAAAGATTTATATCCTTTAGTTCTTTTTATAGAAAATACCGATATTTTCATTAATATGTCTTAATTTTCGGGACGCTCTATATGCAGTAGAAAGATATACTGGGCTGCGTTTCGGATTTCTCACTCGGATGCTTTCTTTCTCTCTTTATCTTACTCTTGTATCTCTTTCACTCCAATGCAGTGAATTCACTCGAGTGAAGAATCGGAACGCAGCCCTGTAGTCGATAATGAGAGACAAAACACAAACACGCGAGTTTGGCAAGTTAACGAAATTCGACGAGTGTCTTATGTATTACGCCAAGCCATCTATAAAGTTTGTGAATTACATAAAAAAAAAAAGAACGAAAAAAAAAGCTAAGTCTGATGAGAGTTCGATAAAAAACGAAGACATAAGAAGTATTAAATTGTTTATGCTCGAACAAAATAGGCAACTATTGTATCTCATGCGTAAAACAACCGCGTGCGTGTTTTGTGCTTGTTTATATGCGTGTATTATCCCTTCTTTAATCCCCCCGCGTGTATGTATTATACCGTAAAAAGAAGTACCGTATGTATGTTAAGATTAATTTTTGATATTGTCGTTTAGCGTTTTTTAAGGAACGTTCGCCTTTTTTGTACATTGATACGAATGTAAAGACGAGTTTTCTCGATTATTATTTGCGTTATTATTATTAATATTATCACTCTATATATGAGAGACAATTATCGTCACACGACAGTAAACTGTTTGTTACAAGATTTGATCAAGCTTGTTCGCAGCGAAATGCGTACTGTACTGCCAAAAAATGAAGAAACACACTTAAAGTGTATAAATATACTGAAGATTTATAAACTTTTACATCAGTCGATCCTTTGTGGACTTCTTACATTTTGCCTCGATCGTCAAATTTTAGTTTCGTAGATTATTTTTATGGATCTAATAATCGAGTATTGTTAAGTCAAGTAAAGGAAACACAAGTTTAAAATAAACATTACGTAGATTTCGGAGAAGCAATAAGTAATGTTAAGTTTGATATGCTTTGGATTAGAATTTTAATTACTTTTTTGTTCTTTTGGAATATTCGCACAGTGAAATGATCGAAATAACGAATTTTCATTAGAGACTAATCGATATTCACATCTGATCTGAGATGTCTCGCTGGACCAAAGGTTCCAAGCAATCTCTGGCTGGCGGTGAAAGAGGCAATCTGACGGGTGTCGCTGCGATATTGTCCCACAAGCCAGGTAATCGGGAACCATCAGAGCCGTTACACTGCATCCCTGACAAATCAAGACTTCATTAGAAGAGAGAAAAAGACAATAGATAAGGATTGAAAATCACTAGAGATACAAGTACAACTTATCAAGAATGTCGTTAGAGATTAAAAATATTCTTTCCTATCATATATTATGTCCAATTAATAAAACAAAATCATTAAAAATTGTTAGAATGAAGGAATTGGATAAGCTAAGGATAAGCTAAGAAGACTCGAAGACACGTGATGATTTTTAAATATCGTCTGCGAACCTAAGGGTGCAGCTTTGTAGAGATCGTGAAGAGCTTCCACGCGAACCTTGGTCCACTCAATGCTCTTGTAATTGGCGGAAATGCCCTTTTCCATACTGGTCTCTTGATTTTCCCACTCTCGCATATAACGGAAGTATGTCCGTAGAGCATCGTCGCTTATGGCACTCTTACATACCTAATAAGTAATATGAAATTTGGCAGTTACACAAATATTATTTTTTAATTCATGAGAACGAATGGATTCACTTACTTTCTTATTTATGTGATTTTACTAATGAATGAGTTTACCTCTAATTGCGTGTTGGGATAATAATGGATGTAATTAACACACATCTCGTCGGAGATAGCGAAGCCACCGAGAGTCACGTTATCTCGTTTCATAGTGTTGTAGGTACAAGTCGTTATCAGGGAATCCCCCTGCAGATTATTTCCTTTTTGCGATAAGAATATTCAGCTCATTGTTATTATCTCTAATAATGTGATGAAATATTAATAATGAGATATTTTACTAATTTATTCACATATAACTAATTTGTTCACTCGTTTATCTATTTCCATATATTCATTTGCTTTAGTGAATTTTCTTACGGGCAGGACGGTCACCGGTTTCGGCAGCAATCTGATTTCCTGGAAATGGGTGGAATAATGATTGTCATAATTCAACGGCGGTAACTCCTCGCCGTCTCTCACATGACGAGTGATGACTCTGGTACCCGTCAGATGCGTGTGCAGCTGAGAGCCGAAAATGTGAATACCACTTTGGGGCAATCCGACTCCGGTGCACTCCGCTATGCAGTGACCGGATAGTGTGAAAGCTTCCTGAGAAAATAAACGAAATCAACAACGGTCTGTCAAATTTGAAGATTGCAAATCCGAATATTTCTCTTCTTAAAAAAAAGTATTAAATCATGGGAACGCATATTTTTGAGAATGAATCAAATGAATGATTTTTCAAATAAATTTACACAGCTTGTTTAAATTTACTACTTTATTAAATATGCGAGTTTGTAATCTCTCGAGTAATTTCTCAAAGATTATGATATTCAGTTGTTTGATAATCAATAATCATGATCGATTAATTTCCTCACCTGTTGCGGAGGTATGGCCATCTTATCAGTGTACTCGAGGCCAAGCTCGATCACACCGGCATCGTACTTTCTGAGAGTTTCGGTGAGGACGAATCTAATACCGGAAGAGTCGATAACGCCCTGGTGCAACTCAGGATTGTTGTAATGTACCTCCAACATAACATGTGGATTAAAATCGGCCCCGCCAATGGACAGACCGGCCTCCTCCGGGTACACAAACGCATCGGCACCCATCGCCCATGCTGCCAACACTTTTTTGCAGATCTAGATGGACCGAAAAAATTGAGTTAGACTTGAAATTCAAAGTTTTTCTTGTCAAGAAAAGTACTCTCATAACAAAAATGTTCAAAATACATCAAATGTTCAAAATACATAAAAAATTATTAACAATTTAATTATTAACAAATGCTATATCTGTCGCGAGGAGATAATTACCTGCGTTTTTTCGGGTCTGTCCGCTCCGTCGCAGGGTCCATCGTACATGGGTATTTCCAGATCGACAGGTCCAGCGCAATGAAAGACTTCCATATGATGTACAAGATGTTCATTACCTGCTTGAATAGCGGGACCAAATTGCAGGATGTGATGCCTATCAATAAACATAATATTATTTATTTTCATATTACATATTAATTTATTTGCTAAATCTTCAGTAAAGAATCTAATTGGCAAAAACATTAATGCAAATTCTAAAAATTTTTTCTGAATCAACAGACGTTTGAAATAAAATAAAGAAATGTCAATGATAAGAAGCGATACGTACTTTCGACTCAATACTGATGGTAATTTATGCACGCGACACCAATAAGTCGTCTCCACCTTCGGCACTTGAACCCGATAGGCGAGTAACTCGAGCTGCCAGGCATTTGTCGGGAATTTAGGCTTCTTATGGGATATTCTGTGTAATTCTGTGCGGGACATGCCAGATGCCTTCGCATCCGATATCTCGAGACCGGCCAGAGAGGACAGCGGTCCGCGACCGCGAAGCCATACCAGATGCGTGGTGCCTCTCTAGAAACGAACATTTTATTTTTACTTTTTATGATTTAATCTTCAGGCATTTCTCAGCTGGAAATTGCAGATTAAACTCGCTTTTATATAAAATGCTGAGTACCGAAATCTCAATTTCAAGTGGATTTTTAATGAATTTTTGTTAAGACAACACCTCAATAAACATCAACTAACAGTAACGTAATGTCAATGTTATAATTTCCCACTCGACAATGTAATGTTACATAACATACGTGTTACATTGCATTTACGTTGTTGAAAATCACTGAGAAATTATAACATTGATATTATGTTGCTGTTAATTAGTGTTTATTGGGATGATTTCTTCACAGATGTTCTGACTTGTGCGTAATTTTCGCAAGTCATAAGTAAATTATATTCACCTCGATAATGTAATCATGCTCGTCGCATGTGTCAAACTTGCGGGAGAACGTGAATTTCGTGATGTTACCGCGTCGTTTCCACGCAAAACTGTCGCAATCCTGCTGGGTGTCCAGATGTAATTTTCCGTCGACGTCCGCCCACGAGTCCTGCCGATTATCGGCAAGGATAATTTTTCATTTACGTACATTTTAACGCTTTACATCGCTAAAACGTGAAATCTTACTTGAAGATGAGTTTGTTGATGCCAGTCAGACCATAAGACACAATAATCAGCCGGCTTCAGTTCTCCATAATCAGAAAATCCGATCGCGAACCAGCAGCTCTCGTTGCCGACGTAATGGACCTCGACGATCACCCGTTCCTTCACTAGATCCACTCTGAAACCCAATAACAAGTTGAGAAAAATTTCCGATAATTATGACAATATAGATAAAAAAGGGAAAGAATCAAAAACTTGACGGCTAAATTCTCTTGTTACTTCAGAAACGATTTCGTCGGCAAAAATAACGATAATGAAAAAAAAAAAAAATATATTTTAGCAATCGAAAAACGTATCGTGAATCGTCCTGTACACACGCACAGTTTACGCGCAAGTTGAAAAATATTCGAAATTATATTCTTTCGTATAGGACACTTGGCGAACAATCTTCGAAGTCGCACCTCCAGTGGAAGGTCGCTTCCGAGCCAAGCGGAACCGTGTGCACTGTGCTCACAGCCGTATTCTCGATCGAGGAATCGTGCCGAGACCAACCCGAGTGGATGCCTGTGAGAGCGATCAACAGGAACAGCATCATCGTCAACGTGATTAAATCCTCTTTGAATCTCCCTACGAAGTGATCCAGCGAGTAAACTCTTCTGAGCTTCGTTATTCGACGAGGATTTTATATCGAGGTTTATCTCAATTTTTTGGAGGGGGTTTATGGGGTTGTATCGCGAAGTCTGCGAAGGGTAGATCCACACTGGACGATCCTTGCTGTGAACTTTCGTATCTCGCAGGATTCCGCGCTTGCGAAGCGGCGCGTGATGCGCAAGCTCGAGGAAACTGGTTCACGAATCGAACAACTCCTTGCACTTATCCTTGCTTCTCTTGAACAATTCGAAAAAATAAAAGTAAATATTATCATCTAACTTTTAATTTAATTTAAATTTATTTTACGCAATATGTATTAAATAATATTTAAAGAAATAAGATTTGGATGTTTTAATGTAAAATTAATTCACGTAATCTCATCCTTGATTAGAAAGATGGCAACGATTTCCGATAATCTGATTGATAAAGAGAAGGAGATTAACTATCATAGATTGCCAATTTCAAACGTATTTTAAATATACCGGATATCTTGAATCTTCCCGCAATTCTTTATAGACAGTTTATGAAAAAAAGTGTTAAATTTTTAATTCTTTATAATTTAAAAGCTACAAATATATATTAATATTTTATTTAATTATTTATAATTTATTAATAATTATAGTTTTGACACTTACATGTTTACGTTATGTATAAATATTAGTCCTTATTCTTGAGATAAGTTTTTCTACTTAAGATAAATTTTGCTCTATTTTTTTAAAAGTTTTCCATTTTACTCTTTCGAACAGATAAGAAAAAAATCAATTTCACATCAATCGTAGATACGATTGAAATTAAAACTGAAGGTCTTCTGGAACATCCTACGAAGAAAAGGAGAACGTCTTCATATACGAATATCTTCCGAGGCACGTATATTGCATTCCATTCATGGAGCGTGCCTCGCGACCGGACTGCAATCAAGAAATTCCGTGAAATTTATTGCGGCCGAGAGTCTTTATTGCGCGTTATTAACGAAAATAATTCGTGCGAGGGAGACAAATTTTAGGAACGTCGATTATCAGGCATTTCAGCTATTTTAAGCTGTATTTTTCACTCTAATCAATAAAAGTCTCATCTCCTTACGTAATAGCCAAATAATTAACAAAACGTGCGTGCTCTGTTATATCAGAATAATTATCTCTACATTGTTGCATACGAGATAAATATTTCAAACGTTTTAATATTACGAACAGCTTCTGAAGCAAATATTCCACAATGTCAATCTGTTGACATTAAAATGCCATAATTTTCATATAAAAAATATTAATAATATTATATAAATATGATTTTCATATTCAAATAATTTATATTTTATTTCAATAATTTATATTTCAAATAATTTATATTTTAAAAATGTTCGTTAGTTCTTTGTGAAATTAGAAAGTGTTGTATGTGAACCGAACGATTATTTGAAGATTGAGAAATTTTTGTTTGTTTTTACACTGAACGGTGATGGAATCTTTTAGTATTTAGACATTATTGCTAATAATCGCTTCGTCATAATATTGAAACACTTGCGGCAAAGCTGCCTACAGCTGCCCTCACTTAATGATTAAGACTCTCAATTAGGATCAATCATGGCTTGTAAAATTGTTGCTCGCAGCAAACAATTCGTGTCTTAAAAAATAGATGTGGGATCTGATTGTAAGAAGAAACTGACTCTAAGAAGAATTCGACCTGACCTCCGAAATCATTAACGAACGTAAAATTTCTTCTATTTCCCAATCATGACTCACCGTGAGAAATAAAAGAAACTCGTTTTTATCAGATTACAAATACTTAATCAGGAATTTTATAATCTAATTTCACGTAACTTTCTATATAAAATTATTAAAATTAGAAAATAAATAAATACATAAAAACTTTCATATATGTCAGATAACATTTATAAATAACAAATAACGAACTACGAAAAATTTAGATTTGATATTTATAATTCCTTTAATATCAACAAGCTCTTCTTCGAGTTACTTCAGTACTTATTTGAACTCTTCGCATCAAGTCTCTTTGAAAAATCATTGTATTCTGTCGTATCGACACAAAAATTATTGTGAAAATTAAAAAGTTGTTTGCTCAATCATATCGCTATATGTTCTTTCATCATTTTTAGGTATATTCTAAATTGGAATCGATGATCGAAGCAAAGATTCTCAAGTTTTCTTCACGCGGCTGCAGTCGAGTCTCTTGCGTTCTTCAGTCATTGCTCCGATATCTTTGCCTCAATGTCAGGACGGTGACGCGGCCTGACGTCTCGGCTATAGTGGGACACAGCGAATTGATGATGACGATGGGAGAGGATGGAGAGGAAGGGAAGCGGGAATACTGACGGCCAGCTGGCGGCGAGTTCGTCGAACAGTCGGGAGAGACGAGCGTTAGCGCTTGGATTGGAGTGTCGGAGCAACCAGTCCACAGCACACGAAAATCACACATATGCGCGAGGAATGTAATCCGTGCCCGATGACCCATCCATTACCCGTGTACGACGCCCTGCAATTCAGACTGCCGAATTTCATTCCGGGGTGAGTGAGCGAACGAGCGTGGGGTGAGTCAGCCACATGGGCTTTCAACACGTGGCGAAATCAAGCCTCTGCAAAGATGATGTTCCGGAGCTGAAGCGCACGAAAATAATCCTCGCGGAAATCGGAATAAAATTTTCCTCTCGAGAATCACGTGGCAGAAATTAAACTTGATAGATTCATGAAGGATGAATTGTTCTGTTATATTTCCACTGATGAGCGAATTTTTTCTGCCCTTTTTCAATTTCTGGGATAGCTGGGATATTTTCTAGTGAAGCTCATGTCGTTTGTTTCTCTCGGTTTAAGATATCCATTAGTTGAGACTAATCGATCAATCTGTCAATTATAAATAAAAATTTTAATTTGTAACTTGAAAAATAAAATTTGAAAAGTTATAATGAATTTTTGTTTTGCGATCTTTTTGTGGTGTTATTTAATCTTACTCATGCGGTTTTTTCCGGAATGTCTGTTTAGCATTTCCATGATGTTGAAATCATTCGAATGCATAATACTTGTTCGCACGCTATATAATATTACTCACGTGGTATTTCTATGCACGTGTCGTGAACGAGGCCAGCTGTCGTCAAGCGGAGGCTTTGATACTTCATGGTCAAAGGCGCACACTTTTCATTCTCAGTAACTGTAATAGAAAGGATCTGATGATTTAGATTTAAATTTGACACGTAAAATCGTTTACAATAATAAGAATTTGCTTTTTGTGTCATTTGTAAAGTAGCAAAAGATGTATAAGAAATTAGAATGTACATATATAAATATGTATATACAATTATATAAAATGTTATGAAAATATAATATTTATAATTATAAATCTGTTGTAACTTAACATAATTCTATATATTTTTAATTATTATATAAAATTGTTATTCTATTAATTATAATTAATATGAATTTTTTGCAAATAAGAAAGAACAAATAAGCAATGAAGCATTCTAAATGTCAAAATCTTATTTTACACAATTTTATTTATTATAAAATAATTATTATAAAAAATTTGCTCCTAAAATTTCCTTCACGAAAGGATTGAATATTCAATACGCTACTGTGATAAGCATACACTCCTTCCTGATAACCAGGATGTTACTTTTAAAACGCTTATCTGCTACAATTTTGCAAGAATATCACGTTCCATAAAATTTTCCTCGTGATAGTAGGTCGATTTACGATGAAATATTTGCACGCCTGTTTGTATTTGATGATAAGACCAATTAAGTTAACACTGCCGACTGTATATAATGGGTCTTTTGAAAGTTTATGTAAAATTACTTAGAATACATTGTAATGTAATATATATTGTTGACAGGAAGGAATGTGTTAATTGCCGACGATTTTACGTATCATTCCATCTACAGCTTGCGATCTAAATTATCAGTTAAGTCACGCAGAAACGAAACGATAAGTGTCAACAAAAGTCAATGACGCGCAAACTACTATTTGCGGAGTGTTTCGCAAGTTGCAAGCTTCGACGCTTCAAGAGCAGACATCTCAGTAAAATACATATATGCGAGCGGACACTTATTATTTTTAGATTGTAACTCAACGCTTTCCGAACATATAATATGCTCGTTTCTACGATATCTTTTTTTCCACGCCATTTCCTTCTTCCGTTAAAAAAGAGTTAAGTCTTTTATAACTTTTACATGTTCAGGAAAAATAAAAGTTTCACGAATGTATCACGCGATTGCTTGATTGGCAGAAAATTGAAATTATATGCGATTTTAGCGTGGAAAAAAATGTCTGTCCGATATCACATTTCGCAAGGAACGTAATCTCGGCATGAAGATAAGCAATTACGCAATACGTCGCGTAACGGCATCGATAAAATAATTAGTAAGTGCACGAAGGTGTCCTCTGAAGATTCTAATCGAGCGATAATAAGCGAGCCAACCTTCAGCTTTGATTTGCAAATGACTAATCTGATAGTACTTTCCCATCTTCTTCGTAAATTATTTATACTTATCGAACTTTCAAATTCATTAAAAAAAGATGCATTTGTCACGTTAAAGCCTGTAAATCAAATAAGAATTATACAAAATGTTTATTTTACATATAATCAATTTCTTTAAGTTAGAAAGATAAAGTTAACATATTAAAAAAAATGAATTGAAGTTAAAAATTAATTTGTTTGAAATTAACTAAATTAAGATAAAAATTATTAACTCTTTAACTTTATTATATAATTTCTAACTAATTAACTAGTTACTATCCAACCTTGATATTTTCCAATGCAAAAGAGAGACATATAAATATTTCATTTCTATGAAACCATTTCTATACATTGAGGCAGCTATGTTGCACATAGTAAAATTTCAGAAAAATAGCTATAGAATAAATGATTCTATAATTTTTATATTGTTGCAGGGACAGGAAAGAAAGTGTAGCTGCAGGTGAAGAAGTGTCGTAGAAAGCCCGCAGCGGATGAAACGTCGATAATCGATGGGTTGAGAACGCCCTTTGTCATCTCTTCTTTTTATTATCAAGGTGTGTAGCTTACCTATGAGCCATGCTGAAAATAGTTGGAGCCTCGTGGTTGCAGACTCGCATTTCCACCTACATCCTCATCGCCGTTGGTCTCCTTGGCATTGGCGCCATTATTCTCGGCGAATATGGACAGTGAGTCGGCACTGATTTTTTTAATTTACTCGATAATCCCAGGCAGAGAAGAAAACTTTCGAGAACAGATTTTCGAGAACAGATTAACGTCTCTGCTGTTGAGTGATAATTAATAAAACATGCGTACGATGCGATATGATGAATTATTTTTACACATTAATTTATAACTTTATTAATTTTTCAAGAGGCTCGTATATTACAATTACAAATAAAAATTAACTTTGAACAAGATGTAAATACCTTTCCTACAATTTTTCTAACTAGTAATGCTCTTCCAGTGTTGAGAAAGATGAGATATACTCGGCAACCGTATCGTGGAACCACAAAGGAGGCTATCACATTGACTTTTGGGGTCAAGGTAATGACCTCAATGACATACCATTGAATGCTGCCCGTGCCTATTACAAGAATAGCATCCTTGAATCAGGGTAAGTCAATGTCATTGTGAGAGAAAACGTATTAGTCATATTTCTTCAAAGAAATTTACTTTCCTGACGTTGCCAATTGACTTCATAAAAGTCTGAAAAGAATATAACAAGTAAAACAAGTTATTTCTAATTATTTTATATTAATAAAACATTCTTTATCTGATTCTAACATTAGTCTTGGACGTAACAATCTTGACTTATATTGTTAATTGATGCTACATATACGTCGTACATTTTTAATAAGTTTAATTCTGCAATTAAAACGATTGAATATAAGATTAGTAACAGTAATAGAGATACATCACACGCTCTTTTTTTTCGGTCGGCTCTATATTTATAATCTCCGTAAATAACCGTGTAAATAATTTTGAACACGTAAAGCGAAATCCATAGGAACATCCGCTTCGCGCGCGTATGTCAAATCGAAATATCCCACACATCTCACTTACAGTGCGGATTAATTAAAATAAGCACGGCGAATACATTCCAGATGGTCCATCATCGAAATAGAAACGTCGTCAAAGTATCCAGACACCGTACAGGCTTACGCGGCCGGCATGCTAGAGGGTAGTCTGACATGGCAAATGATCCACCATCATTGGCAGAATACCGTCAATGTTATCTGCAAAAAACGGCCCGGCATATCCCGAATATGGAAGCTATTCCTTCGGACGAATAGTGACATCGTTCGCAAAGAGGCCGAGAGCTACGCAGCTACAGATCCATTCTGGCACATGGTAAACAAGCAAAAACATGAAACATTAAAATTAAGAAATAATTAGAAAACATTCTTCAAAAACGATAAAATTTGATCAATAGATTCATTTTTCTTCATGTATATATGTTAAAGATTTTGACTGGGTATATATATTTTTATTGCTTTTGAAGAAAAAAATCAAAGGCAATAATAAAAGCAAATATTTCCAATATTGCATAATTAATGAAAACATGTGTTTCAAACTTATTTTCACGAATTTAAAAGAAGCATTGAGGAGTGCGTTTTTCGATTACAGGTACGACTGTTCTATCTTCAATTGGACGGTTTGGAAGCCGGTTGGAAATTCGCAGTTCGTCGCAGCCGGCAAACGGTGGAGATGAGCCATGAAGATTTCTTATGGCTAGCAATGGCCACGGACCTACGAAATTTCGAACAATTACATAATTACGAATCTCATCGCGGTTACATCGAAAGCATGATCTCCCTGAAAAAGCTGCCCCGCGAAGGATTAGATCCGATAATAGTTATTGGTCATACCACCGCTGCACCGTAAGTTATTGTTATTC